GGACCCGGCCGCAGCGGTGTCCGCACCGCCGCTTTCTTTCTCCTGCTAAGCACGCCAGAATTTGCGCGTTGCTTAAATCTGCCGCAGCTAAAGCAGCGAGACAAAAGCTCCCTCGCCGCGAGGAGCGGCGTGTCCCTGCTAACCGCTCTCCCCGGGTGGGCCAGCGGGCTGCGCTTTCCTGTAGTGCTGGCGCCCTGGCCGTGTGGGAGCAATGTGGCTCCGAGGTGAATCGAACCCGAATTAGGAGCGCGATGTGTATTTTAAGATTGCTTTTTCTGGGTTGAGCTGCGGCCGCCTAATCCCGGCTCCCGGAACAGAAGATCTGTGTTCCCAGCTGTTCAAAGAGCTCGGCTTGGGAACGGAGCCGTGGCTGGTAGGCTGCTAGAGCGATAAACATCGCTATGTGCAGCTACGAGTGTCTGATAGTAACAGCCATACGAGATATAACAAGTGCATGCCCTTGCTCCAACTTTTTACAAAAAACAAACAAACAAAAAAAACTTTACAAAGAAATGCCTGTTAAAGATAAATCACTGTTTGTCAAAATGCCTGTTCCTGCTCTCTCTTTGGATTTTAAGTCTCAGACCCGAGAGTTCAGCGGTGAGCAGTAAAAACCAGTGAATATGGACGTATTTGGCTTGAAGCCAAATTTGGCTTGATAATTTTGACTGAGGTCTATATCACTAGTTTTTAAGACGGTATTTAATTACATTGATGTTTTGGTATTGCCATTCTTTTGGTTTGGCCATACTTTAACATAATAAAGTTTGCTGCTGTGTTAGCTTTTTTTTTTTTTTTCCCCTCCCCTTAAATAACTACAAATGGTCTTTAAAAGGCAACTGGTTGGCTCTCCTGCAATTAAAAAAAAAGTTTATGTTTAGGTATGCAGCTGTTAGTTGTGTTTTTAGTGACATATTTAAATAATTTCCCTTTCTTCCCCTCCCCCCTTCCTGTTACTGATATAAATTAGATACTGGTTTGCATAAGTGAACACATTCTTTAGAGTTTTACCCCATTCCAGCCCCCAATGCTTAGTGGTAACTTTCAGTTTATGTATCTAAGAGGTATTGTCTGTTATCTGCCCCATTTAATTTAACTTTGCATTAAAAGTTTGTGTGATTATTCAGCTTAAAGAGTGGTAGAGATAGAAGTTATTTTGTGTAGTATTCAGTCTGGTGCTTTGTGACTGCTTAGGCCCAAGAGAAACTTGACTCCATTTAAAATGGATGGTTTGTGATGAGAGAGGCTTCATGGCTAATTAAAATGTCCCTGATCTTGTATTCTGTAAGTTGTCTCCAGTGTAAGAAGTCATCAACTTCTCTTGATAGCTTTTTGGCGGGAAGGCTACTGGGTTGCTTGCACAGAAACAACCATATTGCTGGTCAGCTGCATGTGGTAAGGCTTTTTTTTTCTTTTTTTTTTTGAACGTGAGGAATACATAAATTATTTTTTTTCTTCTCTTTGACAAGCTATTGTGTAGAAATAGGAAAGAATGTATGTGTTCCCTTTTGTTACAGTTTTTCACAAAAAGTAAGTAATCTTATTTTAAATAGCAGAAGAGAAGGAAGAATTTCAGTTCCTGATCTAGCATGTTTTACTTGTTCACAGTTCCAAACATATATAGTCAGCTAGACTGGTACTAAATGTTAACCTATAGCTACTTTCAAACCATTAAGTAAATGTTTTGATTATCATACATATGTAGGTGGAGTTTTGATATTTAGGTTCGGATTTCCATTGAGGCTTTCAACAGTAGACAAGTACCTCTCAGGTAACTTTGAAAGCTCCTTTAGTTTCCTTTATAAACTTAGATTTTCCACAGAATATTATGTTTAAATTCTATATATTATAATCGTTTTCATGGTCTGTAATAACAAGTTGCTTCCACAGTTAAGCCCAAGAAGAGTTTGCTGTAGTTATTGAAAACCCTGCCTGAGTACCTGCTAAAAGCAAATTGAAGCCCCTTGCCCCCCTTAAAACCATTTATCTGATACTTGTATTATAATGTGACTGTTCAGAGTGCTTTGATAGCTCAAAACTTTTATGTATGTGAAATGTTGGGAATTTTTTTCATTTTTGTTTCCTGAAGGAGAAACAAAGGTGTGTTTTGTTATAGTCCACAGTAGTGAAATGTAGCTTATGAAAACTTGCGGTGTCAAGTGTTCAGCTGCAAAGCTTGTTAATCTAAAATTTTTCCTTTCGTACCTTTAAGTGCTTGGCCTGAATTCCCTAGTGGGATGTTAATGTAGAGCTGAGTTTAGGGAAGAAGAGTACTTGTTATCATTAGATCTTCTTTTGATAGGCTGAACCTAATGCTGTCTTGATAAGAAAGCTGGAACTTTCTTATCTAGCTTGTCTTTCAGCTTTTGTGATGCTGATCTCTGCCATTTTCACGGTAATTTGAAGTGTCACAGCCAAGGAAGCCTCATTTGGAGTTATTACCAGCTGTGTTTTTGCTGCTCACCTTGGGCAGGCATTGGTGGTGTCAAAAGCCTGCAGTTGACTAGTTTTAATTCCCTGTGCTGGGGAAAATTAGGCCTAAATCAAAGGCAAAAACTTAGGCTTGTTCAGCTTTGTGACTCTGATGTAATGCTTATTGGATGGACACAAGTACTGGTGCAAGGAAAGGACCAGAAACAAGAGGAAGCTGGGCTCAGCGCTGGGCTACGCTTTAAGCAGCAGCTAGGCCTCTTAGATCAGCCTTAGTAATATCAAATGCAACCTAATTTTGTTTTTTGAAGTCTTTAAGAACAGAAGGAGAAGCTTAAGCTATTGTATTTCCTTACAAAGAGCACTGATTTCTCTCCCTTGGCAATGGATAGTTTCATTGATAGCACCTTTACAGTGCTGCTGCTGTTAACTCGGAGTTTGTTATACTGTACTCTGAGATGTTTACTTGAGGTTTAAGTGTACATTACATTCTTACATTGCCTATATTCTACCATTTCTTTTAATTGACGGAGATTGCAAGATATTGGTGTATGACAATGGATAAACTTTTTGGAAAAGTCCAGCAGAAAGAAAGTGGCTTCTGTGTCTAAGCTTAGTTAGTTTAGGTGTGGTTCATGCGATTAACAAATCGGGAAGCTGACATGGCTGTGCAAATAAAACTAATACAGAATGAGCAAGCTGGCAATGGCAGGTTCTTTCTATTGCTCCAAATTGTTGCACAGAGAAGAACAAAGGCTGGTGTAATGGATACTGCTAAAGACTGGCTAGTGCAAGCTGTCCCCATTTGTAGTAGCAGCCATCAAGAGGAGCGTTCGTAGTTGTATCCCCCCAAGCCCTCTTAGTTCATGATAAATAATATTATCTTCTCTTCCAATATTGTACTTTGGGTTGTAGTTACTTTGTGCCAGCTGTATGTAATCAGTTGCAATGTTTGCTTTTCAGATCTTACGAATTGAGCAGATCTGGCTTGCTTTGCTCACTCTTTCATTGATGACTGTTGATGTTAACAAACCCAACTCTGCCCAGTTTGCCAGTGGTCATACTGGATCATACTGATTGGTCTCCTTTGCAAAAGTCTTGGCTAGGTCTCTTTCATTCAAGTTTTCTCATCAACCCCTCTTCCTTTTTTAAAAAAAAAACAAAACAAAAACAAACAAAAAAACCCACAACTTTTTTTCTTCATCCCCTCCCCTTTCTCTGTAATTCTTACCCTAACTGCAAACTGCCTTCTCTTTATCTGATCTGAACTTTGAAGGAGTGGGAAGTACTAGAGAAAATTCTCAAGTGTTCTTTGTTGCTCATGAATTAAAACTGACAGGTGAGCCAGTAGGCTTCCCATTAGGGATTGCTTGATTGAAACCTTGAAGGACTGTCATTTCTGGATGTGAAAGGTATATATTCCGCTTCTGGTGCTCTGGCAGTGAAGTGAGGAATTTATTCTGGGGGAAGTCTAACTGTTTAAAATCCAGTGCATTGATATATATATATATTTTTTTTTTTTTCAAGCCCTGGTGTTATCAAGAGCTCTCTTGAACAGTTTTCTTATTGTGCTTGGATGTAAATTCTCAGGTAGCAAGCATGGGCCAAGCCCTGATTTGTAAAGACTTGGATTTCCTTTTAAGTAACATGGTAGTAGCATTATCTGTCTGTACAGGATGAGTTTTAAGTCGTCAATTCATGAGAACAACAATCTTTTGGGATTGTTTGCTGGGCTGTTTGGTATTATAAATCTATTATTTTTAAAGCTTTGATAAGTATCAGGTTTTCTGCTTCCCCCACCCCTCTTAACAGCAGTAAGAACAACTTCCTCTGCTAAATGTGGTATCCATGAGTAGTATGTGGAATTTTAAGTACTGCTTTACCTGGCAAGCAGTGTGGTTGAATGGAATAATCATTGTTCTTGTGCAGAGCAAGAAATCTGGAAACAGTGCAGCATCAGGTCAAGTTACAACCCCAATGGCAGAACTTGTATAAAAGAATGGTTATATTGTTGAGATCCTTCCTCCTTTTTTAAAGGAAAATTATATATGTAAAATATTCACTCTGTGCCTTGCCTGTTGCAATTAGTGACACCTAC